TCAGGCCAGGGACACACCGATGAGTAGCTTAATATCTGTGCTAGTGTCACTAAGTCCTCCCATCTAACATTTGGCCTGCCAAACTTTTTTAGTCCATGCATCTTTCTGGACAGCATTTTCCTGGGTATCGCTGAATCATCCATACGTGCGACATGCCGGGGCCATCCAAGTCGTCCTATCTTGATAAACTTCAGCAAGGCTATTTCTTTATAAAGGCAAGCAAGGTCGGCATTTTTTCTTCTTCTCCAAATTTCACTCTCTCTAACAGGACCAAAAATCCTTCTCAAGATTGATCTCTCGAAGATCAGAAGTCTATTTTCATCTTGCTTTTTAAAGGCCCACGCTTTTGATCCATAAGTTAAAACAGGGCGGACCAAGGTTTTGTAGAGTGATCTTGGTTCTGTTAGAGAGGAACCTGCTTCCAAAATGCTTCGAAAGGCTAAAGTAGCACCGTCTGGCCGTTATTATCCTTCTGTTGACTTCTCTAGAGAATTTTAAATTTATCTGTGGATCCAAAGTATCAATGTCAACTTCTGACAAATAATTCTGTTCATTTACATCATTCATCTACTAACTTTAACCGTATTATGGTTAGTCAATTGACGAATTTGATGTTGGCGAATTCCATTTATAAAATTTATTTGTCAACTAAAACTTCAAATAAAATTTATTGAGAAGTTTATATATTTTAATAATAACTGTATTATTACAGGTTTATATATTTTTAAAGATGAAAATCACCTGGTTTTTTGTTTATCTCTTCCTCAGTTTTAAGACCATAATATTCAGCTAAATCAGGTTTTCCTTTGTAATAAAAATAAATTATAGTACCAAGGATATTTAATGAAACAAACATATAAGCAACTGAAAGACGTTCTTTCCATAACTCTGCTTTATCCATTGGAATGGGCTTGGTATTACTCCTTATAAGTCGACGCAGCCATCGAAATTGAAACAATGTCATAGTTAAAGCAAGAGCTAGAACAAATGAATAAATTATAAATAAAATCAATAAAATTATAAATTAAAAAGAAGTTGATAAATTTAAAATGTTATTAATTTCTGAATGTAGGTGTAGATAACTAAAAATGCCACATATTTTATACAGCAATTATTAAAAGAAAATATAATAATGCTTGGATCAGAAAAATGGAATGATACGATGATTACAAAACTACTAAACACGTAATAGTAATTCTAATGGCCTCACAGTGAAACCTTTAAGCCACATAGGCACTTGAATATACCCTAAGATGAGCAAGTGGACCAAGTGGAGGGGGGGCGTTCAAGCCCTAAATGAGTGATAAACTGCAGTGGCTAGAGCTTATACGCACCAAAAAGTACATACCCGTTCCAGAGTTGTTGGTTTTTTTTTTTTAATTCTTGTCTTTTCTCTCAGGTAGGAATCCTTGAGGCATTCAATTTTTGAAATCTGAATGTGAGCACAAATTTTGTTTTAAAGATCTTCCTTCTTTAAATTATTATAAAAAATTAAAGAATAATTTAATCATATTATTCTTATTCTTAAATTATTATCACCGTACCACTCGCCAAGATCTTGTCTTGTCAGCAAACCATTGACCTGATGATTACCCACATGCTTGGGGCAAAACGTCTGCAAATTTAATAAGCACCATTAATGACTGCGCATCATAATTATTTGTTATCCTTAAGTTATTATAACAAAACTCATCACTTGGAAAAAAATGCGGTACTTTTCATCTAGGGGGCCGCTACTGACTGCTATCTGCCAATGTTTATAACCTGAACACTGATAACTCCCATAACGCAGTGATAAGCCTTCTTTTACTTCATATCTTCGTATTATTGAAAGTGTAAACAGATACAAAAACAAATGTAATAACAAAAAAAATACTTTCATTTGACGACACATATATTAGTGAAATAATAAAAAAAACACTTTAAGAAGATATGTACATATAAAACATCAAAATGAAATAATAAAAAAACACATTTAAAAGAACATATTTACATATAAAAGAAAAAATATAAAACAAAATCTGTTTTATAAAAAGATAAAACATTCATCTGTTTCTCGGCAAACTCCACCAAACATCCACTGCTGAGATAAAACTCTCCCCACATGATTTTTTCGTTTAGAAAAAATACTTTCTTTTACTTCAACCACTTTGCCAGGTCCTCCAATTGTTTTTCTTGGCCTGTATAACATGTCATGGGCACAATCAATTTTAAAGCTGTTAAAAAGTTTTGTGTCATAAGTCCTACGAAAGCATCTCCATTTGGCCTTCCTGGTTGACTTCATTCGATGACCTCGATCACACAATTTCACGTCGGCAAGTACCCCAACATTTTAAAAATATTGAAGTGCCTGTTCTTCTGAAGGCGGCAAATTCCATATTCTAAGAAGATCCATAATATGACGAAAAGAAACAAAAAGGGACCACAAACTAAAAGAAATTTAAAATAAACACAAACGGGCCCAAAACTAAAAATAATGAAAAATAAACACAAATGGGCCAAAAGTAAAGAATTTAATAAGTGAACGTAATAAGGGAATAACTGAAAATTAAACAATGCAATAACTGAAAAGTTTGGCGGGATAAGAAGAGGGAGGTTATGTGACATGACGTTAGATAAGAAGTGAGGTTTCAGTCCGGCCTGCTAGACAAAAAGTACCAAAAATGCTTTTACAAATAAATTTCTTATATATTTTTCTTGATATATGCTTACATTAAGTATGCATATAATTTAAAAAGAGAATATACTGATTGTTCAAGTGAATATCTTAGATCAGTCATATACACAAATATAGACCAATGGAAAAAAAACCAGAGGAGGGAGCAGGGGGCAGGAGGGAGGGGGGTAGTATGCTCATATTTTGCAGGCCGGCCCCAGTAACCAATAATTAAAAAATTAGTGGTATTCACTTATTTAAAATGTTAAGTAATAATGAAAATCCTCATGCTACAAGTTGCAGGAGGATATCGACACCAATTTAAGGCAAGAGATTATTATTAATAATACCCCCCAAAAAAAAGAAAACTTAAAGGCTTGATGCTAATACCACCAATCACACTCTCTACATACTTCCATCCAAACCTAACTCCACACAATAAGATCGGCTTTAACACAATTCTTACATCTTTGCTTTAGTCTATCCCTCAGACACTTAACAGTCAACAGTGCATATTATTCTTTCAGAGATTCATTCATCACTAAGCCTCAAAATTTTACACACCAATTTTATTTCCCACAAAGCTATCACATTTTATAATCTTAATTATATAATACATAAACATACTTCTTTGATCCAAATATTTTACTTAATTTTCGAAAACCCTCAGGAATTTATCATAGCTTTATGTGGACATTTTTCACATCCCTAAAGAACCGTAAGATGTATATTATGAACTAACTAATTTTGCAATGGAAATATAACAAGCAAGTCCAGTCTTTCACTACACCATAATTTCCTTTTTTTTTCAATTTACCATCAACTATAAATTTCTTTACGTGTTTAAATGTATTTCCTTCTACATATATATCACCTAAATTGCCACCGTCTCAGCAGCTTACCATATAATTTGTTTTAACTATTTTTAATTCAAGCATCAGTTCTTTATTGGGTTTTAACAATGTTCCTGTATTTAGTTTCATAGTTTTGGTGTCTTCAATGAGTGGTACTAAACCATCGGAATGCTCTAGCATGGATATTTTTCCAACCATATGCAAACATTTTTTGGTACATATCACCTCTGTAATCTTATGCTCTAGTGCTAAGTTAAATATGATATGTTGAAGGGAACCACTTCTCTTTAAACTGGAATGAAATTCAAACTTCTCAGGAAAATAATTACAAATTATTTATTGAAAGTTTCTTCATACTCCTCCTAACTTGATTTTTTAGAATCCCATCATTTAAATTATTATTATTACAAATACAATATTAAAAACGCAGAACGCATTGCAAGAATAGTTCAAAAATATACAAAATGAGGGATAATGAGGCTAAATTCTGTTATCCTGAATTAAAGCAGCTGATTCTGTGTAGGAAAGTATTTTCCACTGTCACATACATTAATTGTTAATAAAAATGATAAGCACAGTATGAAAATTAAGTACCAACCAGTGAGAAATGTGTTAAATATAGAAATTCAATACATAATTAGGTTTGTTACATCTTAAAGCCACTCATCCAGACTGTCTTTTACTATAAGAAAAATGATTTTAAATAAATATAGTCAAATTTCCAGAATGAATTGGATCTTTACATTAATAACAGAGAAGTAAGAAGTTAATTATCAATCATAATTATAAATTGTTGAAACTCACAACTCTAGAGTTAAATCAAACATACTTAAAGTAAATATGATGATATAATAGATGAATAGAATGAGTGTTCTGGAAAAAAGCCACCTTAAATTGGCAAACAGTTACTAAGTAATTATTCATTAGCTATTAAAGGTTATCTTTTTATTTTCTAAAATGAACATTTTTGTAACTGAGTAAAACACAAATAGAAAGAATATAAATCCACATCAAAGATTAACACTCAATTGATAATAAAGTAAAATTTGCAAATACTTAAAATACACATACTTTCAATCTTTAAAAAACAAGCACTAAAAATATCTATCACATAAAAAAGAATAATATTTAATTTTCTTTATTTACTTTGTACTACAAACGTTCTTGTAGGTTAATAATATAACATGACAACAAATTAATTACTCACAAAAATTTGTTTTCAAGTTGTTTAGAAAACCTAATAAAGTGGTAAGTACATTAGGGTGACAAATATATGTTTGTCAACTCACAGATGTAATCCGTGAGTATAATTAGTCTTCATCAACGTTTGATAAGTAAGATCTTTAAAAACAAACTATAAACTCCCTACAGCTGAAATGAATCTTCTTGGTCAAGGACAATAAAGTTTCAGAGAGGTGCTACCTCTATGGAGTTCGATCTGTTTTGCTCACTTGAAGGAGTTGCGCGGTATGAGCAGTTGTATTTAGTCGCGCAATCTTCCTCAGTTGGTTAGTTGTAATACAGTCGCCGATTATCTTAATAAAACCCATGTATCTAAATTTCGTGATATATAAAACATCCAATTGTTTACAAATTGAATAGTCATGGTTACATGAAATAATTATTCCTATTTGAAAGATTTTAAGTATCTTTTGTATCATTAAAGCTATGATAGCGGAATCTCAGTCGTTTATCTACAGTGAGTAGTTAAATAAGAATTCATTTGTATTTAGTTTTCAAGAATAATAAATTCAAAATGATTTAAATCTTCAACATTAATCAAGCATCAATATTTTTTATACTTTCAAAATGATTACTTAAATGTTAGTTTAAATGTTATATTACTTTGTCATTTATATAATTAATTAATCTTATCAACGTTTTAGAATTTATGTTTCATGTTATTTTTTAAATCACACGCCATTCTAAAATTAATATGTTCAATTACTTTTTGTTTATTTACATATCTTCAGTTTGCAGTTATAGCTATCATTAGAGAAGGATCCGTCCTTAAAGAAACAAAATTGACTAAAATACATATTTATTTAATTCGCATTATTGCTATTTCTTTTAAAAAGTTGACTAAACAATTCAATCCCGAAATCCTACTTTTATGTAAGAGAATTGTTTGCAATAGTTACAATTTTAAATTTATATTCTTAATTTACTATATGATGTTTGTAAATATTTATATGAATATATATATATATAATATATATATATATATATATATATATATATATATATATATATACATAATCCCAATTATTAACATTATTGTAATATGAACATAATCAGTAATAGCAAATCTTAAAGGTATTATAGTTACATGCACCTTTAAGGGAAGATCTTTTCTTTGATTAATGAGATCGGTTGACCTTGCTTCTTTTAATAGATGTCCAACCATGTTTTTATTTGTTTAAAAAAGAAATTATATGCATTAAAATAAGTTAGCCTTTGATTACTATGCTTTATCTAGTTACAAGATTTATAAAATTTTAGTTTTATGTGAAGAAATTATAAATCTAGTTTTAGGTTAGTATATTTTAAGATGCAAAAGGAAATTAACTAGATTTCTCAGATCATCCGTATATATTTATCTAAACATTTATAAATAATTAGACGTTTTCTAAAAAAATTATTCTTGTCTGTATTTTACGAGATTATTTTTTTTTTTGTTATATAAGAGAAGTTTTTGAAATACTTAATAAACTTCTCATTCACACTTTTAGCTGACTTGGCTGTTTTATTTTTTCTATCAATTTTCAGTTAGTCGCAATCAATTCATTTCAAGATATTTATATTTAGGTTGGAGTCGAATCCACAGTGCTTTGTTGTATCAAATGTCATGGGACCCTTACTTCGCCCCGCCCGGACTTCTACTTTCGAGCAATCTACAGGTTGTTTTTATCCTTCTTTCCTGAAATGCCGTTTTTAAAAAATGTATTCTGTTTTTTTTTTTTTTTTACCAAGAGGAGTTCAATTAGTTCTATTTAATATTTCTTCCTCTGTTGTTGACTTTTTCAGATACTGCTTGTCGGCTTTACTTAATACGTTATTTTAATTAAACAGCTTTGGTGGCCTGAAATGTGTAATGATTTTCAATGTTCTAATCTGCACTAGGTTTTTATTTTACCTATTAAATGGAATGCATTAACTGATAAATTATTCCATTAGGTTTGTATTCAATAATGTCATTAAACAGGTGAATTTGGTTACTGTCCTGAGGATGATAAAAAGTCCTGAAAAATCTTCACGTACAGCTGTACAGTTCTTAAAAAGGTTAAGGCAGAAAGACCGTACCTGTAAAAGGGACAACCAAAGGATCGCATTCAACCGGGGAGCTATGGCTGTACGCATTAAGCATTGCGAGAAAGGCAGCCACAAACGGAGGAGGGTATACCCTTGCATTTATTGAGTACCAGATTTTGCTGGAGAAAAATATGTAGTCGAGCAGTATTTGTGCTTAGCTGTGCAAGGAAAACCACCAACAGTGAGTATTTGTCTACTGACTGAGGTAAAATGAAATACAGCCGATTCGCTCTCGAATCTGCATAAGATAACTAAGAATTTGTTATTTAAAAAGAATAATAATTGATGAGTTAGAAACCACGTAAGACCAAATTAGTAGACATAATTGTACTGATTCATGGCAGTAGTAGCTATATTTGTTAAGATTATACCGGATACTTGATTTGGAGGGCAAAACTCAGTAGGCTTTATACGATAATGTCAAACATGGACACAGAGTTATTAGTATAAACTATTATTTTTAACTTAGATCAGTACGCTGATTCATAGCTCGTCTGTGAAGGGTGTCCAGAAGGTTTTGAGTTTTTGAGGGGAGCCGTTTTAACGAGGTTATCAATTTTCGGAATGAAAATTTTCAAACCAGTGGACGAGTGGAAAAGACCACATTAAGTTTAATTGTTTATGATATATTCCTTATTTTATTAACAATTTTTAAATTCTGCTTTAATTGCACTGTATTTAAGAAGAGGAGAGCAATAAAATATCTTGTGAGGAGGGGGGTGGAGGTTCATACACGATCGACCTTGGGGAGGATGGGCTTCGCTGCCTTCTGTTAATTTATGAAGAAACTTATAATGTGATATAAGAAGATAACAATGTTATCAAACAATGACTAGTTTTACCTCGTCATCAAATTCAATAATTGAGCCATCATTTTGAATATTATTATTCTCATTCAGGTGGGAAAAATAAGCACAAGAAAAAAAAATATGAAGAAAACGAAATTTTATTTGCGCATAACCCTAAAAGTATACAATTAATGATGCTATTTAGGGTTCGAAAGATCTCCGATTTCTCTACAAATAGAAAAAAAAAAACATCCGAATCTTAATATTTTTATCAAAGATACAGTAAGTTTTATTGTTTATACATATTTTGGTTAATTATTTCAAAGGATTCGTTGTAATCGACCAAGGACAAAAAATTCTCCCTCTTATAATGCATTGAATTTATTTATTTCCATATTATATTCTTACTTGTTTACTGACCAATTGCTATACGAATTATTAGCATTATTGGCCTACTTACAAGTAAATGATTGCAAAATATTGGAGGGGCTTGCCGCCCTTCATTAGATATTGTGGAGTAGAAATTGCATTGCACCCTCCCTCATGTATTTATTAAAAACATCGAAACGTAAACGAATGTATAAAACAGAGAAACGAAGTTAGTTATTCACAGTCTTAAAAACATTAGTCTAAAATAATCATACAAGACGCACAATACTCATACCTTACACGTCACCTTTCAAGCTTAAAATTTTCAATCTTAACCCATGCCTTACGATGCACTATGGGCGGCATGTTCTGTTAACAATCTGTTAATGCAATGGTGATGTCATCGGTTTTTGTTGCCTTGTTTTTAAGTAATATTAACAGCGTAGCTTGTGATTTATTTAATTTATGTTCTCAGATTCTTAAGACTTGCTAATAAAAAATTATTCTTAAATTCTAGTCTGTAACACCATATCTTAAAATCAGTGAGAAGGAAGGAATCGAGGTGAGAAGATTGGTTAATATTAATCGGCGAGATTGGTGATGGGAGATCGGTAGAAGAAATTTCCTGGCTCCCTAAAGTAGTTATGGCTAATATCCATTTTGTCAACTAGCTCCTTTGAGATAATACCTTATACTCACTGGACCATTAATCTAGTTTAGCGATGACTAGCTCCACTGTATTCTTCAATATTGTATTGCAAGTGTTTAGATACAGGTTTAGGAATTAAAGCAAATTATTCAGGATTTATTTCTGAAATCTCTCAAATATCAGTAAATGACTAGCTAATTAACTTTTCGCCAATTCGCGAGTCCTCAGAGCAGAAAAAGATTAGATAACACATGCATACGAAGACAGAACATCTCACATTTTTATTTTTTATTTTTAGAACATACGCATTTTATTTTAATCTAATTATATAATCTGTTGTTTTTATTTTTATTTTCACTTGTTTTGCTGATCAGCTATTTCAGTTGTGATCATCCCCTCCTCCCCTAAGTAACCTCCCTCCCCCATAATATTTTATTGATGCCCTCTTCTTTAAAATAATGCAAGCAAAAGTAGAATTTTTAAGATCATATATCATTTACAATTACACTTGGTCTGATCTGTTCCATGTGTTTCCCTTGTCCCTAGATTGGAAACTTTTCAATCAGAAAATATATAACCCCGCCATAATTAAATTTTTTTATGATAATGACACTATTTATTTTTTTGATAAAATAAATGGTTACGGAGGCATTTAAGAAATTATATTTTAAAAATTTTTCTTTAAGCTAAAATTTATTTAAACCATGAAATAGCTGTTGTTCATGATAGATGACATTTTTTCGAAGTTTAATTTTTTTTTTTTTATCGTTCACATTGTTATTAAAATATTTTGTATCAATCCATTAGGAATTTCGTGTTATTGAGATAATGTTTAGATTGGCATTGATTTCATGTTACTGATAATAAGTGGTAGCAGACCTTAAAACCTACAAAACCCTGGTCTGATACAAAACCAGGAAATTTAAGTTTTGTACTTCTTTAAGTAGAGCACATTTGCTGAATTGAAAGCTATAATAAAAAAATAGTTAATATAGATTATTAACAATTGCTTCATAGTAAACTTGACAAAATGTTCTTTATACAAAAGTACACAAAGCCGTTATTAAAAACATTTGAAGGGAACCTTTAGTTGTTTAACTAAAATCATCATTATAAAATGATGGATTATTTGCTATTATTTTTTTATAATATCACAACTGAACTACAGAAATTCTACTTTTAGAAAAACTACTTGTTTTTAATGAGTTTTAAATCCTTATTAATCAAGTTAAGTTTTGTCACAGAATAATTTTAAATTCACCACTAGTTGTGTAAAAAAAAAAATTATGTGATTGGATACCCTATAATCCCAAAGTACTCGTGTTTACAGCAAACATATTTATGGTAAAATATTACAAAGCTTTAGTTCCTTTTTTTTTTCTCTGGCCTAGGGTGTATTATAAGAAATTAATTATGAAAATACAATTTTTATTTATGAAAAACAGTTCTTTTTTTAAAAATTTATTTGATTAAGGCACCATTGTTTTCTCAAAAAACGTTCAATATCGATTTTATGAAAATAAATCGATTAATTGTAGTGTTTCATTAATTAAAATAGTTATTAATTACAAATTACTACTA